ATATATATATATATATATATATATATATATATATCACATTAACAAACAGTCTTAAAATTTAGTATGCTTTTTTTTCTTTCAGGGTAACTTCAAGTTTGTTGAACGGTTTGCATTTTATGAGCGTGCCAAGAAGTCATTTGCTGTAGTGGCAACTGGGTGAGCATTTCTATTTATGATCTATGATGGGTCTGTTTAACTATTAAATTATTATATATTCATATTTAAGAAAAATAATAATTATGTATGATCCGTAAATCTGTCTGACAGGGAGACTGCACTGTATGGAAATCTCATAATCAAGTGTCATTCCGCTTGGTGAACAGTGCTGAAAGAAGGCTGTTTGGTACAGTTTTTCAGTGCCAGAGTTTTTACACCATATCGCACATACAAAATACCTTTATATATATAAAAAAAGATTGTATATATAAAAAGTATGTTATTAATTTAATGCCATCCTTTTAGATTTTGATTGCAAAATGACTGCTTTCATAATTGTTCAATAAGTTCAAAGAATTTTCTGTTCATATTTTCTGTAATGTGATGTTGTAAAATAAGCAATAAGACAATTTCTTTAATAAATAGATTAGAGAAAATCATACAATAAAATACGATTTGAAAAATTGTAGTACATTTTTCTTTTCTTTTTTTAATGAAAGTTTTGTGAAATGAAAGTCAGCTCTGTTTAACCTTTAAAGATTTAATCTTAAAGTTTAAATATAACTGGTCAAATTTTGCTTTTCATGTTCAACAGGTGTAGCTCAATCCCCACCTGCACATTTCATTTTGTTGCGCATTGTTCTGTGAATTAACAGCAGCTTAATTGAGCTCTGTGAATGTTCTCTTGTTAGGACTATGGAAATGTGAAATGTTTGTTTTTCTTATACCTTGCCTTAATAAATACTTTCTACTTTTAAATAATTGTATTAAAATTTATTTCATTTACTCAGTTATTTCAAACTGATTCAATAAAAAAAGTGATCAATATGACTTCTTAATTATGGTCACAGTCTTCTCAGTATTGATGAGTTTGAGACATGCTAAACAGATAAACTGTTTTATTTTTATGTTCAATATTAGCTATATTAAAAAGAAATGTTAAAACACATTTTATTTTAAGACTTTAAAAAAATAGAGAGCATTTAATTAAAACTACACATAATGAATTAACATTCAGTATTACAATCCTTTAGACATGACATGACTCACCTTATCATTGCACATTAAAGCATGACAACATATTCTGTTACACCAAATACACAAAATAATGATCTTTAAAAAAGCATCATATGACCCCTTTAAAGCTCATCCAGGTCTACCTCTGTGTGCACCCTTTTTGGGCGAATGGGGAATATATTCATCGGCAGAGCCTGCTGGTCAGACTGATGTCCTTTAACATCTGCGTGGTACAGGTCGTCTTTGTCCTCTTCAGGGATTGAGTAGATGGGCCTGACATTACCTCCAAATACATCCTTCTCTTCTCTCATTGGCTCTTCAGCTACATCAAACATACCATGGTATAGATCATCCCTGTCTTCTTCTGGTTTGTCATGCATCCGTACCTGATCGTGTCCCAGTGGCTGAAAGTACTTTTCAGGCTGTTTTGCATCAGCTGGATGTTTTATGTCAAAGGAGTTGTAGAGAGCATCTTTATCCTCTTCAGTTCTGTCATATTTCTGCTGTATTTCTCCTTTTACGGCTTTCCAGATCAACATGCTGGGATCAATGTCAGAATCTGTAATGTCCATGTCCTGTGGTGGCTCCACCTCCTTCATTCCCAGGATCATCTTCCCATTGGGATGATCAAAACTACAATGGATAATATCTTATTTCAATGATTTGTAAATATTCTTACAGATTTATTATATACAGACATATTTAGATCCTTCACAGTGTGCAGAAGGCAAGACTTACTCTATAGTGTCCTGAACTGCTTTGCCCAACACTTTTTCCTGCAGGACAAATGTAAAAGTACAATTTTAAATGTATACATTTTTTATATGTAAAAGCAACAAGTCAAACTTTAGCATATAGATTATTTTAAAAATATATATATTTAAATAATTCAATTAAAAGATGAAAGGGTACAGCCTACTCAGAAATCACAGATTTAGAAAGTTCATTAAAATGAATGTTAAATTCTTTACATCCTTTTCATCTTGCTCAAAATGTCAAGAAGGGTCAGGGCAGACCTTGTAAAAACAGTTGTAATTAAAAGCGACTATAGCCATTGTTTATTTTTTTCTTTTGTAACTTAAGACAGTCAAAATATTTAGCTGTAAATTAAGAGTGTCCATATTAAAAAAAAGCAAAACATACCCTGGGCCTGTATGTCTTGGCTGAAGTGCTGAACAGCAGCACTGACTGCAGACTAGAACAGAAAACCTTTAATGTGGGAAACAAAACATGAGTGTTGAAGTTCATGCTTTTAACTTAGAGAAATTTTTTTTTATTATAAAATATCCATATGTAACAGTGAAGCTCATCAAAACTCATCTGATCATAGTGGTTCCTCATACTGTAACAATCACAACGAAATATGAATTATGTTTTACATGGAGCTGATTATAACTATCTTACCTGTAAAGATCAAAGTTCAGCAATAAACTGAACTCTGTGCAAGGAATTCTGATGTATTTTTTTTTTATCATGTAACTGAGTGTGTGTGCATATATATATATATATATATATATATATATATGTATAAATGAATATGCATATATGTAATTTTATACGTGTATATTATTAATTATATTTGCTTTGCTTTTGCCTAGCCAGTTAATCCTTCATTAAAATAAACACATTGCAACTCAAGCAACGCTGCGTTTATAGATCACCCGATTATTAAAATAATTTGGTATTTTCTGCACCGAACACTGATATTATGTCATCTCTATCGTAATAAAGGAATCAAGACACTCTTACCTGTCAACATAAAGTCGAAAGTACAGTACAATTGAAAACAGATAATCATTCGCAGTTATCTGACCTACAGTAGGCTATATTGTCGAAGATTAATAAATGATGCACGTGTAGATGACTGAAAGGCTATAGGGAATCAGCCTTTGGACTCAGTTCGAGAGTTTTAGGCTATTGAAGACTATCCTTGTTTCATATTTAACGTATATGGAAAAATATGGAAACACATTAAGATCAGTATCGAATATTTAATAAAGTAACAATGATTTAATATTGACACGACTATAAAGTTAATTAGGAATAGCCTAACGTAAAACCTGTAGAATTTTTATTCAACACGGAAATCCTAACGTTTTGGTTTTAAAGATGTTTGAGACAGACATCCAACAACTAGACGCGAATAAATGCCGTAGGGTCAGGTTTGGGTTGAGGATTAAGGATTAAAGGTTAGTTAGACCTCGGGATTCTGCCAGGGCTCCAGCCACCCAAGTGGTGCTCTTTTCCCAAGCATCAAATAAAAACACAACCCTGCAGTCACGGGGTTACACGGCGCACCGCCACAAGATGCACAAGAGCTCTTGAAATGATATCCATCGTATCTGTGTAGACTATAACGTTTATCGATGTATGTGAAAACTATAAACTATCTGTTACAGGTGACTAAAAGTAACTGTTTTTAAAGCACATGCTGTTGAAGATGGACTTCTGTTTGTGGAGTGAAATTGCATGTAGGCTAGCTGATTTGCTAATTAGTCTAAAGAATAACAAAACAGGAACAAGACCTGAAGCTAATGTGAATGTTATGATGAACTGCAAAATAGTTCATGACCAGGTTCAACATTTTAAAAGTGGAAAATATATATTTTGTGATGCATTTACTGTACAAATTAGTTTATTGATTATTGTTGCATAGTAACATTAAAATTTTGTAATGCTTCAGTGGCAGGGCAAACAACTGCAGCCAATCAATCACACTAAAAAGCCTCAGAGAACCTGATTTGTTGTTGATTCACGTTCCAAAAATTGCTGCGTGATAGGCCGCACAGCATCATGTTTGTTCAGAAAGCCCCTTTGTAAAAGCGATTGCTATCCCACGGTGACTAACGGCACCCGTGCAGACGCTCTCATCTCCCACGGAACTGAGTCAAAAATCTGTGCAGCAGCAAACAGCGACTGACTGTGCGGCATGAGACTGAGGGCAGACGAGCACTCTGTGATCTTAATGCCAAGTGCTTGGCCTCATTATTGGGCTTATTGCAGGATCAAGAGCGAGATGATGTTTACTCACGGCTCGAGTGCAGACAACTTGAGTCACGGTCTCACTCTCACCTGGAAGGCTGTTTCAAAAGGCTCTCAGCACAGGAAATGTGGCACCTGAGTTCCTCGCATGAGGAATTTATTCCAGTCAGTGTATTAACAAAGCCTTCAAGGCATCTCTGTAGAAAACATTCTCCTTTTCTCACCACTGTGACTGTGCATACCTGTAATTAGACAGATTGTGATTTTAATACAGCCGAAACCTGTGGGGCCCCATACTGTGCTTTGATGCTTGTTTCACAGCCATAATACTCAAGTGGTTAAAACAGAGAACAATCAAAACAGCATGGTTAATGAATACAAATTATAACATTATCTCCGGAGTTACATAGTCTTGTGGACTGTGTTATGATGTCTATTTGTTGTTCTAAATGAATGAATATTTGTTTTGTGACAATATATGCTCCCCTCACAAACCATGACTAAAGAGAACACGTTTGCTTATTTGGTAACTATATGAAGCAGACTTATGCTGTACAAACCACGGGAAATAGCATAGAAGGAAAACATAAATAATAATGTGTAAATCAACTGAATGTCTGTCATGTCTTTTTTTTAAACAAATCCATTTTAAACAATGGATTATTTGAATTTCCATCCCAAATATTCAGGGCACATGCAAAGAAACATGCTGCAAAACACCACATTAAACTAGACAAGTTTATGAGATATGACTTTTAAGTTGAAAGGTATTAAAGCATAATACAAATACCCTGCAATTGTATATTTAGTATACTGAACTGGTATACTTAATGTCTGCTAAATTGGAACAACTAATTTTATACTTAATGCACTTTAATTGTGCGGAAGTAGTGCTGAAGTCAAACTAAAAACATACTTAATTACATTTGATTGTGTTAAAGCGGAACTATTACAAGTATACTTCAGGTACACTTTAAATATCTTGCATTTAAAGACAGATATTTTTCAAAGATCATAAAATCCTCATCAATGACATAAAACACATTTTATACTTAATATTAAAAAATGTGCATTGTGCACAAATAGTACTCCAAATAAAGTTTAATCATAACTTTTATATCAGTAAGTCTCAAGCGATATGTCAGTAAATATGTTAACAGATTTGAACTAATACTAAGCTTGAAATAAATGTATTTTAAACAGATTACTTTTTTACTAGGGAA